ACGCGCGAGGGTGTCCTCGTAGCTCAAGTCAGGACCAAAGATGATTCGTAGGGCTCTCTTTTGCACTCTTTCTAAAGCCATGCAGAGATACTGCGGTAAATCTGCAAAAACTACCGATGCATACTCTAGAACAGATCTTAGTAGGGAGCAATACACAGCCACCAACTCCCCATCTTGCACCCCACAAGCTTTCAGTTTTCTTAGAGCATAAAGGCGGCGATTTGATTTCTTTATTATATAGTCGCAATGAGTCGACCAGCTGAGGTCCGAGGAAATGTACACCCCGAGGAGCTTAAACGATTCCACCGATTCAATAACAGAACCTCCTACCACTATTGGTTGACTGTAGCAACTATTATAATGCAAAAAATCAACCCGCATCAGCTTGCACTTACTAGGGTTCAACTGCATGTTGTTACAATGAGCGAAGCTGTTAACGTCATTTACAAGGTATTTCATTACAGAAGGAGAGTTGCGAGGAATTACCTCCAAGCGATAAGCGATCTAAGCGATCTCGTTTCGCACCTGACGAATATCATCGACCTCTTTACGGATAGCTGGGCTTAAAGTGGTGCCAACAGTGTCTGAGTACAGGATGGCAAAAAACAAACAGGTGCAGTCCCACTTTGCCATGTTACCATTGTGGATTGTTGCCAGACACCGGGCGTTTTTCTTGTGACTTGCTTTAGATTCATTATTATAGAAATCAAGACCATTTTGAGCCGTGTCTTTCCATTCTCCAGTTGACGTTGCTTTATAGCAGAAATCCCATTCGTTTTTGAAAATCTGCCGCAGTCCTACTGGAACCAAATCAAATCCTATGTAACAGAGTCTGAAGTAGTTAAGTTGCTCTTGCGAGTATTCCATCTGACCAACTTACAATCCTATGAAAGATATTTGAATGAATGAATGAATGAATGAATGAATGAATGAATGAATGAATGAATGAATGAATGAATGAATGAATGCATGACTGACTGACTGAACGAACGAACGAACGAACGAACGAACGAAGGAAGGAAGGAAGGAAGGAAGGAAGGAAGGAAGGAAGGAATGAATGAATGAATGAATGAATGAATGAATGAATGAACGAATGAATGATTTATTTAATGTCGAAGACGTGGGAAGTGTTTACACAATCTTCCGAGCCAGAGGCTCTTGATAAAAAGTGCATTATGTATATACAAATATTAAGAAAAACCTAAAAACATCGTAATTTTGGGAAAATTTTTTAGGAAACTATTTTCTGAAAAAAAAAAAAACACTAAAAAAAACCTAAGAACATGCATTAAAAATAGTTTAAAGCGGACTAATCATTATAAACTGATTAAAATATTAAAAAATATAATTATATCAGTATAATTATATATGTATATAAACTAGCCCAAGAGTATGTAAAAATGTAAAAATAGATAAAGTTATATACAGTTCATACATTGACACCCTGTGAAATTGACATTATTAAGGCGAGCACGAAATTGCGCTAGAGTGGTCGAGGATTTGGTTACAGTTGGTAATTGATTCCATATGTGGGAAATCATGTATAAAAAAGAGTTGTGCATGACAAGGCTGTTATACGGGGGCTGCACAACATTTAATCCACTGTCTCGTAGATTGTATTTAGTTAGCCGAGGGGTCAAAAAATTGGAAATATAATTAGGGCCATCTAGTTTAAAACATTTAAAAAATATGATAAGCGATTGCAGGGTACGTCTTTGCTCAAGCTTGTCCATATCAGCCATTGCTAGCCAAAAGTCAGCCGAATTACCTAAATGATTGGTACGTTCGATGTTATTTTTCAAGACTTTAGATATGCCCAAAAGTAGTGGGCAACAGTATTCTAAATGCGGTAACACGTAGGCTTTATAAAGGGAAATCATAACGTCCGAAGGAACTAAGCGCTTAATCCTCCGTAGTGCGGCTATCTTAGCATACGCTTTCTTCAGCATGA